AGCTAAATCAGAACCGGATCCCTGCACAAATAATCAGATGCCCATTTTCCATCGTTTTATCTGTAGGAAAACTTTTCCAAGCACAATAATAGTCAAAGATATAATCTAGACAATAATATAATGCATATTTTACGAACACATTAAACAGATACACCCACGTCATTCCCAGTGAGACATAGGGCTTCAAGCTAGAGAGGTTTGAAGTTTCAATGGCAGTGGTACTTATTTCTATGGGATGGGTTGTATCATGTGTTCGCATACTGTCTGAAATAAAGCTTTATTAATACTATTATTATATATTATTATTAGTCTCATACCTAACCTTTCCTCTTTACTAGTCTTATTACTGGCTTAGCGCGGTAAAGGAGTGCATCACTGGCCAAGAATCGAACCTCGGACCACCTGTGTGATTAGCATGCATTCTACTGCTGTGCCACCAACGCACGCCATGAAGACTAGTGTGCATAATACTACGCATCTCTATCTATCCCTTTCTGGTGGGAAAGACATAATCAAAATCATAACAAGCGATTCATACATATTCATTAATCAATGCGGATAATTTCGTCAGAAATGTTGGCTTTTTGATAAAATGGCAGTCATTTGAAAGTACAAAGTTTGAATACTTGATAGCCTTGAGATAAAAGTGAGTATTGGAGAATACATGTAGTTTGTGTAGACGATCTAGAGTCTAGACAGACAATGAAAGCGTAGAAATTAAACACTCCAGCTCTGAGTAAATAAAACAACACCAATGTAAGTGAACCAGAAGATTATAGTGAATTTAGATGATTCACTTTCATGGATTATTTCTTATATGGTTAGGAGGGGTTAATAAGCTTTCTAGAAATGTTTTTATTATTATTCTATGATCTTATATTTCAGTGATTGCAGTTATTTGAATTTAGATAGCTGTGATTTAGCTCTTTTAGCTTAAATTTCTAAGTCAGGTATCTGTCAACTAACTATTGTGAACTCTTATTTTATTGTGTTAACTGGAGTTTTTCTAAAAGAAAGGTGGAAATGATCCTATCTTCAGATGTGTTCAGTCGTCAGCTGTTCGACATTAGTGCCAATGGGATCTGTAAACAATAAATGAAACAAGTTTGAGTCGTGTGAAGGTGTCAAAGATAGTCACGACTACATTTCCATCTTGTGATTCAAAACAGTCGCAGTTTCTTCAAATATGCTGCTCACGTTAAAAATGACAACTACGTACATATTATGCTTGATAAGGAATAAGCCAAAATAAACAAAATCAATACAGAAAACTGGAAAAAATACGTTAAAACGAGAGATTTTTTGAGAAGTAGGCATCTTAGTGGGACAAAAACAGTTTCCAAGAGTCAGTTTGTAGAGATTTGATCTGTATCAATTATGATGGCGGATTGATATCAGTTAGAGAAACGTTGATAACTAGTTGGAAGTACTGGACAACTGTCCAGTTATGGACATGTGTCTTCTATCATGGACCCACCTACTGAGGTTCTAATCTAAGACATTCCTGTGACTTACTCAGTGACCCACAAATTTCAGCTTCTACCGATTTTTAATATTAGCTCGACTGCAACCAGTCACTTTCATTGTTAGTGAGTATTTGTTCTCACCTCCAACCCAGTGAACTCCACTGGTTACGCATCTTGGGTCGCCATATTACTGGATACATAATGTCTCCTGAAGTAGGGAGAATAAGGAATAGCCAGGTGAAGACAGGCTGTCACTCCATGAAGTCACTGACTTTTGATCTGACTTAAGTGAGTAGGTGTAGATAGTTTGGCTTAGAACCTGAAAATCACATGGATCAGAGGTTGTGAGTTCTTTGTGTATTGACATGAAATCATCAATTCAGTAGCGCAGTTGTATTTACTCCATGTCATCTTCAAGATTATGCTGAGTTCCTCTAGACTTCATTTCAGTTTTCGCTTCATTAGGCCTATGCTTTTCTATTGTTGTCTCAGCACCTTTCCACTATCCAGTTGGTGGCCATCTTTAAAATTTGACAGCTTAAATTGAATCACTACTGTGTGGATCCCTGTAGTGTTTAGTCATTCATTTAGTTTTAATTGACTTCTACTCAAAGACAGACATATTAGCTTGAAAACTCAGTAAAGTAAAATATGGAACTTATATTTTATGTTTCAATTCGAATTGATTGAATTAGGATTAACATTCCCTCTTCTCAGAATTAATGGTATTAGTTGGTTGCAGGAAATCAGCAGGAAGCCTTCAACCCAGGTTTCCTGATTGTTGACGCTCGGCACTTGCCTTCTGATAAACGGTCCAGTTCATTCCTACAGGAAGGCTGATTGTGTACCATAATAGACTAGTGGTAACATCACTGACCACAGCACTGTGTGACACGGGTTCGAAACTCAGAGGGGACATTATTTCCTCTAAGATCGCAGATACGCCTTACTGGTAGGTGTGTGGTATTCTGAAGATTGTTTGCAACCGTCAGATAACAAAAATTTTGAGTGGACTGTGATGGTGAGCTACCTACCATGGCACTCACATCGTAAACCTCACTGATAGAATTCAGTCTACACGAAATAAATCACTAGACACATGAAACTGGTTACTCGCTATCCAAGTACACATACAATATGCCATTTTAAATCTGTGCTAAGTCCATCACTTTTAGTTAAGCAAGATGAACACATTCTGTTGAATGCGTCGTTAATAACAAGGGATAATTAGAAAAGAAGTCTTGAAGACAAGCTTTAATCACGATTAATAATTAGACTGTCGTATAATTTGGCAATAAATCTTGCTTAAACTCCAGCTTGAATCTAACTACATGTAATATTTTTGTGTGTACTCAGCCTTGGCTTGAAGAGGACAATTAATTAGCACCTGTCGCTGTTGTACTGGTGAAATATTCTTCTACTTGAGAGACAGATAAAGCAGGAAAAAGAGTCGGCTGTCTTTTAAGCAGAGTTTAGTTCAGGCCCTATGTTATCAGTATCTATAGGCAAATGAAATTCTTGAAAGAGTATGGCTCCTCTTCTGCATATACAGTTCACTGTTTATCTGTCTAATAAAAACAGTTTAAGCTGTAGTCTGAACCCCTACCGACTACTCGGCCTTACCCTATGCATCACTTTGATATATTTCTCTGTTGATATGGAATGAATCCTAAGAACAAGGAGATTAATTCAACTTGTAACATGGATGTTCGCTGAAATTGAAGCCTTTGCTTCAATAAGCTTGAAAAGAAAGCGGAGAAGATGATTTAGCTTCTTCAATTCAAACGAACACTCATGTTATAAGTAAGAAAATAAAGATAAAAGCGATTCGAAAAATATTCTTCGTTGCATCTCTGCGTCCTACCTTCTTTACTCTATCTCTTAATCACAGAAATGCCAAAGACAATATTTCATTGTTCGTAATATCCATGGTTATGTGTCAAATATCAGCTGACTTACTCCAGCGTAGTTGAGTACATAGGCAGCACCAGTAAGATATTGTCTAGGTGAGCACAAGAATATCTTTCAGTATTGTCGTCGAGTGTGTCGGTGGCACAGTGGTAGAATGCCCGCCGATCACTTAGGCTGTCCAAGATTTGCTTCCCTAAACCAGTGATAGGACTAGCAAATAGGAAAAGTTGGGCATGAGGCTAGCAACCCCATCCCGTAAAAATAAACACCGCTGCTACAGAAGCTTCAAGTCTCTAGGCTGAAGCCCTATGTTCTACTAGGAACTCAAAGGAATAGAAAAAAGATTTTCATCAAAACAGGATATTTGATTGTGCAACACTCAAAATCAGTCTTGTCTAGTCTTCTAGCATGTCCTGTCCTGCAGAAAAGGTGGGAAGGTTAGGAGTAGGGCTAGTGACCCTATCCCGGTAAATCAACCCAGTCGCTACAGAAACTTCACCTCAGAGAAAAAAAAAATACAAAAAATGACTTATTTTCCCCTAGGATTGGAAAGACGAAATGAAGTGGGCTGATGAAAGCCTTCGGGAAGCTAGTCACCCGATGCATCTTCTTGAAATGAAGGTAAAAATATAGAAGGGGACATGGAAGATCCGCACTATGTTTAAAGTTTGAAAAGCTAATCAGATTACCAAAGAAATGACAGGACATAGTATGGAAGGAAGTGGTAGGAATGGGAGTAGAATATTCAAACTGATAACTACGGAGTCAATGATCTACTCTGGTTACCCAGACGACAACCACCACCACACTGAGAGAGGAACTACCATGATGTCAGTGTGGAGATCTTAATCACTCAACACAAAGCAACAAAATATGAATTTTTAACCCCAGTGGAAAGCCAATACTTCTATTTTAGTTTCACAGACTCCTTATGCGTATCGCGACAAACATTTTCAACTGGCTAGTGAAGATTTTCATCGACAAGTGTCTTCTCTCGACACTGAAGATTAGATAGCTGGATGGAAACGCTAAGCAGCAATGAACTTTGCTGGTCAGTGAATGAAGAACCTATGCTTTATTGCCCACTGCTGATTGACATCACCCATCAGGCCTTCTAATGAAACCCGATACAAAGCGATGAGATGAGTGTTGGTGGGTGACACAGAAGGGAGAACTTTTTCGCAATTTTCGAACCAAATAAAACGGATTGCAGAGAATTGAGTGAATTATAGATCTACCGCTGAAGGTTGATGTTCCGCTTGGGACCCAAGGAATTAATGATAATATATATATATATATATATATTTATATATATTCAAAATTCATTAAAATATATAATTATATTTCTGAACTATTTGGCATCATAAGCCTATTCGTTGATATCAATATTTACATTTCATTCGAACAATGAAATGTGACCGAATAATAATTATTTCCGGAGTCGATCTATTTACTCATCAATAAGTAATACACAATTTAATTAGTTATTTCTTTTCACACGAACTCGAAATTTAACCCATATATATTATTGATTGTGCACAGTATGACCAAATATTGAATCCTTATTTTGTGTAGCGTAGATTAGTATATAAGGTGTTAGTCAATCTTCACAAACTACCACTTATGGTTGTTATGCTTAGTTCATGCGTAAAGGTAAGTAGTTTTATCCCACGTGTCTCTTTTTCGTTTTCTCCCTATACCTTCACGGTGGAACATATGGTGGCTTCAAGCTAGAGCCAGCTTGAATTTCTGTAGCAGTGGTGTTTAGTTTTTACGGGTTGAGTTTGTTAGCCCATGCCCAACTTTCCCTCTTTACCAGTCCTATCATTGGGTTAGGGAAGTAAATGAGTTCGCCGACTTGAGATGGAATCCTGAACCACATGAGGCTTGGTCGGCGAGCATTCTACGACTGTGCCACCAATGCACATATGCCTCCCTCTGACTTATGTTTAATTTGTCTATTTTACTTTCTGCTTTTTTTCTAGTTATTATTGGCAGCAATATGTCTACAAATCATCCTGTGTGAATGCCATACTCCTATTAACAATGCAGGTAAGTTCCCATTGGTCTAAAAATTTGTACATCTTACGGTATTCTTTTGAAATTAAAAAATTTTAAAATTTAGAACTCTTGTGATCTTTATCAATCACTAATGATGAAAAAGTGTTCATACTTGAACAACTGACGATTAAAATGTATTGATATCAGTTAGAGGACCATTAAAAGTAACCAAGGAGTACTGAACGACAAGCTAGCAACTGGATACAGGACGAAATTGCCTACAGTTCTAGTGAGAAGTCATGACCAGTGAGATCCATCCAGTTGGGGGGGGTGAGAATGGAGTTCCCACCTATGACATTGGTTAGTGGTAGAAGTTGGAATTATTGTGCTGGTCATTAAAATCGGCTCTCAGTGGCTGAATGGTCTACGAGTTCACCTTGTAACCGGAAGGTCCAACGTTCGAACCTTGGTAAATGCGTACTGCCGAGACACCTATCCAGTACTCCCAGTTGGTTTTTACTGGTTTTCTAACTGATATTGATCCGTGGTCTAACTTGAAACAAATAAAATCCCTACAAACTAATTTTTGAAGATTGAAATATGATCATAAGTAAATAAGTGGCACCCTATAAAAACCCGAGATGATTATTCAATATGATGAAAAGTACTCACCAGAAGACCGTACAGTGTTTGGACTTAGCATTTACTGTTTAATAACTCTGTTAAAATTCAGTCTTATATTCTAATTCTTTTATGACATTACTGTTTCTAATAATACTGACTGAAAATGATTGTAGTGCCTATTCTATAATTCCTAAATTGGCAAAACTTTATATTCTCATCATGAACCTGATTAAATTATTGAACCAGTGAAGTTTCTACTTTACTTCATATAGTCCCTAAACAGTACTCTTTTGCCATACCCATTTTAAAGCAGTTTTCAGTAGCTTAAGAATCCTCATTGAGTTATATGAAAAAGAGAAGGCGTTCAGTGAAGAGACTCCTTTCGCCGGCGAATTCATTCACATAGCTGTACAATAGCATTTATATATATATTATTGGTGTGTGTGTGTGTGTGTGTAAATGAGGTTTGTCAAGTTTAGATAATTAATCAGGTAATACAAGAATGATCTATTATAGAAACAAGCTTAATTAGACAATAACTAAAGTAAGATTGAGTTAGTAAGTTAGATACCAACAGAGGTAATTACAGTTAGAGACGAAGTTGAGGTGCAGTAGAGAATAATGCCATTTAAATCAGGACTAAAGTGAAGCAAATAAATTGGATGACGTAACATAAATTGAGCGTTGGTCAAGTCAGTAGCAGTGGTAGTGAGGCGTAGAAATTAAATCCCGTAGGGGTAGGAAACAAGAAGGTTGAAAATGTAAAATGTTACAATTGAGAAGACTAAATAATACTAATGAAAAGACAGAAAAAAAGAAATAGAATTTACCTGCAGGATATTAAGACAGATTACGTCTATTGCAGGTGAAGTCATCGAATGAAATTCTTCTGTATGCAGAGTTCAGGACTTAGCAAGTGAATCACCATTGCTTCTGCAGTTTGAAGAAGTCTGATTGGTACACTTTTAGGAAGACTGCTTCGTATTCTATAGATGAGTTTGAAGGTATTTGTTTGGGTGTAGCTTGGTGTCCGGAATCTATCAGATGTCCTAAGATAGAGCTGGGGCGGGGCACCGTTTTTCTCTTTTGTAAAACCATGACTGTGGGTAAGTGTTCGATGGCACGTTTGGATAGCAAACGCTGGATAGGGCCGACATATATGGCTCCACACAAGCAGGTGAACTGGTAGAAACACACTGATGAGGCCAACAGTTGTAGCTTATCGTTCACGTTCATACAAATCGTAGGTTTCAGTTTCATAGTTTCTTCATGGGAAACTTTACTTAATAGAAATTCCTTCCAGGCGAAAGTACAGCTCTAAAAAACTTAAATGCATTTCTATACCTTTATTTATATAAACCGCATATACTTTCATTATTATTAATATTTTTAGCTAATATTACAGAACAGTTGAATGCCTCTTCAACTGTGAAACAGATTGTCAATCCTGTAAAATCACTTTCACTTCACTTTTGTCCATCAGCTAGAAAGAGAAATGGTATTGATCCTAATTCAAGTAAGTTTAAATTCTTATTTTAATCTTAATTCAGACTGGTAATCTTAAGGCCATTAGTTTGAATGTTGTCAAGGTCACTTCCAGTCATCATCACCTTTTGTTTACATCTGTAACAGATATTTAGTCCTATGCTTTGACGAGATAGTCTCACTAATAATTAGAGCATAATTTGAAATTTCCCGCCAGAATAATTGACTGAATTAAACAAACAAATAAAAATGGATTTAATGACATTTTGATAATAAGGCAGCCAACTGCTAACTAGACTATCTGAAGTGTACATGAATGACGTATATGAAGGTCTTTTTGGAAATCGTATCAGGTATACAAGGATGCGATCTAGTGACTACTTGAATCAACTAAACTACGATTAACTTAAGTTTATTTCCTCAGGTAAAGGGGGGGGGCTGGAATACTGAATGCCTTCATATTGTACATTTTAGAAGGGATCTACCATTCAATAAAAATAGAATTCTAATGAATGGTTATTTTTAGCATACCCACAGTAATCGATTGAATTGTAATATTGTGATGATTTTTGGCTAACTCGGTAACTTCATTGATTATAGGATCTATAGAGGTTTTATATTAGCTTGTTTATTAGATGTATCACACAATGAGTGAAACAGTATTATTTACTGGATGACAATATTTTGAACAAAATTTATTGTTCATAAGCATATCAGTTGCAATCACACGACTTCACAACTTGAGTTTTATAGTTCTCTTTGTTCTCTCCTATTTGTCATCGTTGGCGTGGTAGAATTCTTCAGATGTCTGGGTGGACAGATGTTGAATCATCCTTATTGCATGTATTTGCAGTTGATTCGATAAACAAAGCTATTATTATCAATCTCTCCCTGCCTCCACCCTGTCATATTAGATTTTAAAACTGTCATCTTATCCTATCTAGCCTATTGTATGGTTGGGTGTAATTGCATGTAGCGAGTGGAATAGCTGAACTATTCTCTGGATTTCTTATCTTATTCGGGTAAACCAATCTAGATTTTTTTACAGGATTTCATCATGAGCAAGCATTGGTTAGAGAGTCACTGGAAAACCTGGGAGTACTGGACAGCTGTTTCGTCCTAGTTTGGGACTCTTCATCAGTACACACCCACCACCACGGTTCGAACCCAGGACCTTCTGGTTACAAGGCGAACTCGTATACCATTGAGCCACTGGGACCCAATCCAATGACCCATGAATTCTAACTTCTGCCAATTCACGATATAGAGCAACCGCTAGCCAATGTCTTCGGGCCAGCTCATGATGAAATCCTGTAACCAATCAACCAAATCCCTACGAACCAATACTTGAATCTAGATTTTGCTAGGTTTTTCTGTTCGGCTAGTTTAACTGACTGCCCGTGTTCCACTACTTTGACCTACCTAAAGTCATCACAAGCAGGGTATTAGATAAACTAAATTGTTTTGTTTTGAAAGCTCCACACAATTGATCCATTAACCGACAAAGCTTGTTTCTTATTGAGTTTGTGGTTGGTTTGAATGTCAGCCATTTTTATTCCTGCCTTGTTAAGTATTCTGCGTTAGGTTTCCGAGGTTCCTTCCTTGTGTAGAATTATCACTGATGATTTAGATTTCTTATTGTTGGTGTTTTCATTATCTTGAGCGTATTTGACATGCATGTCGTCACTAATATTACCATTATTATTATTATTATTTAACTATCACCACTATCATTATTTATTTTATTTTTATTTTTACATTTCCCTACATACTTTCTGACTAATTTATCAGGGAAAATAATAATTTTCAAAGAGTCTCTTATAATGTCTCACTTCCTGTCTTAGATTTTCCTTGGTACTGCTTGGTTTTTGTGCTCTATTATTTAAACATTTCACCGATCCTACTTTCACTGACATAGGATGGGATGATCGGAATTCCAAATGGAGGTATGAATTTGTAGGTTTTCTGTAAACACTAGTGTTTAACTTCCCATTTTCTTTCCGTTAGCTTTTTGATTTATATAGTGAGGGCTTCTGCAGTACACAGTAGTCAGAAACACCCTGAGTTTGATAGATTTTTGTTTGCTTTGTAATTGAATCTGGCTGATGTGTCAGGTGTTGACGAAGTGTTCATTTATGGTTCTTCTGACTGAACCAGTACCTCCTCTTTGCAGCTCTGCTGAAATAATAGTCTGTTTCTACAACTGCAAGGCGGTTAATGAGTGTCAAGATGCTTTAAAACTACATAAAATTTTTCCTACTGATAACTTTTAACACGAAACATTAAACGTACTGCAATTTGGAGCTTTTTCAATTAGTTTACTCGATCAAGAGTAAATCTTAAACGCTAAACTTGTGACATAGATATTCGTTTTTTCGCTTCCATAACTGATTCATCTATCTTTATGTATTCGACGCTATGTATTCACTTTTTCTAAATATTTTAGCTGTACCATTAGACAAAAGAGGTGTGATTAGCCATCACATACCAATTCAACATTTAATTCCATTACATCATGAATTGAAGTCTATATCAGTGAATTTCGATGCCAAATGTCTTCCTAAACCTATTCCAGGTGAGTTCAATATGTAATACTTTATCATATATAGCTATATAACAGAAATTAGAGATCTTTTACCCTAAACCACACACTGTATATATACCTTTCAGGAGTTAAAATAAGCACAGATGATTATAACTAGAAGTTTTGCCAGTAGATATATCTTTCATCAAACTGGTTATCATGTTAAGAAATTTGTCTTCTCTAGTTAGGTAGAAATACATAACCTCATAGTTTGACAGCTGGACGATAATGAATAATAATAGTAATAATAATAACATCTTTATTCTGGACAGTATTTATAAAATGTACAGAATTTTCAAAGGAGTTTATTTCATGATCCATTGATTGCATGTTCCATTCGCACAATATCTTCAAGTAAAATATTAATTGACAGTAGGATATCCTGTGACACAATGGTCTCTGAGCTGACGAAGCCCAAAACAGTCCATTATGATATATCTGCTTTGGCGCCTTCCAGAAATCCATGATATCTCGTTGAAAGCCAATTGTAAGATGTTCAGAAGTACATTTTGAAACCCAGGGACGTAAATGAAGGATAGTTATGTCATGTATTGGAAAATGCTGCCACCAGCAGTTGGGCCATTCCTCAAATTTAGTAGGGATTTAGGCCAAGTTAAACTTTAAGGACCACTAACGACCAATGGAGTGCGGCCTCACCATTAACCTTGAAACGCCCGCTGGGAAAGTTAGTGGAACCTGGCAAATAAAATGTGCTTGTCGAAGTGTTAAGCTATTAAATGAGATATCTGGGAAGTTACAGCTTAGGTTTGGGAAAGATTAAGTTAGACTTTAAGTCAAGGACAAATTAGGGTTTGGCTAACCTAATAAAAGGCAACATTAAGGTTGGTTGGAGTTAGATTACAGATAGTTTAGGGATATTTTCACGCTGGGGTTAGGTTCAGGAAAGATTAGGGTTATTGTTAGGGTTAGAAGACCTAAATAATTACATGCATAGAATGTGGTTAAATTACTCTGTTGATGTAAGAATAGAACTTGTACACTCCAAACTAAAATTGAGAGCTATTTTTATCACATGTGAGAGGAAGGTATCCTCTGTAGCACTTTTCTACGGAAATGCCTCCTTCACGTGATTGGTGCGTTCGAAGTCATTTGCTGATTGGTAGTTAGTGGTGCTTAAAGTTTAACTTTGCTAGGACTTACATATTAGAAGCTTGTAAACATTTTAAAATACACACAAGAGTAGATAATAATATTACATTGTTATTCAATCTATTAAAACAAACTAAACGAGAGAAAATATATGCAACAAAGAGAGACGGAAATTTTTGGTAGCCCAAGTTTTAAACAGGCCGCCACAAACGAAATTATTTGATTTAGCACACAATCCTACGGTATTATCTACTGCCCGGTAGAATTTCATTGGTTGTAGTCATAAAATATAATATTCAGTGCAGTGTTTTTTATACGGCAGTTAACCTGTATATCACAGTAAGATGATATACAGTCCATTTTCTAAAAATAACACGAATACTAGTGTACAAAATCATTTCATCAAAGTAGTAATTGCTTATAGACTGCACAGTAATGCAACTCAGCTGAGTAATACAGACTACACTTGTTATGTGAGTTGCGCTTTTTTCAAGAGTTAGGTTGTAGGCATTCGACTTGTTTCAAGTTAGTTTGGTCCGGGATTGATATCAGTTAGGGAACCATCGAAAATCCACAGGGCGTACTGCACAGTTGTTTCGTCCTTATTTTGGACTGACCGTTTGTACCCACCCACCAGGGTTTGAACTTAGTACCTCTTGGTTAATACCATTCAGCGACTGCGATCTGACTCAATGATCAACACTTCTACCAATTAGTGATTTTAGCGTGACTAGTACCAGCCAATGTTATCAGTGGCGTGTATTTGGGCCCTCACTCTCAACCCGATGGATCGCATTGATCACGACTCACTAGAACTGCAGGCAACTTTGCTGTGTAGCCGCCATTCACTAGTGAGCATCATATTAATTTGGAAGATTAGTTCGTAAGAATTTGGCTCATTTCATTTCCGACCACCGATCAATAACCAAGCTATCCAGCTTACAGAAGTCAGGGGAAGTTTGAATGCAAAGCTAACTGCTTAGAAATATAGCTCCTAAACTAAATGAAAGATACATCCATGTATTAGGAAGTTATGAATTTTATTATTACTTGAAATTGCGGATAGAAACAAGAGTGATTTTTCTTCATCTTTCTTTTTTCAACTTTCAGATGGTAAAGGAATCAATATATCCAAAGCACCTGAACAGCTGAATGTTAGTGATGTGACCAGCGAAATACCAGACAATATTTCAAGTATTTCGGCTATAAGACACGAAGAACCTGAATTACAACAAGCAGGTAAGCTAATATGCCTCTAAATTATGTTATTACTTTCTTGAGATTAACACCTACATCTGATAACTTCGTTCTTGGGATTAAATATTCTTTGACTGGACACTAAATTACGTCATACGTCTAGTGCTTTGTTTTCAGTCATGTTTGCAGTGTGGCTACCATTCTAGACGGCTCACCATCATCACGGTACACTTCCAACTTTTGTTATTAGATAGATGGAAGCAGTCGTCAGGATGCCCTCCATCTAGATTCTGTGCTTGTTGACAGTAACCAGTCAGAATGTTATATTCTACTATCTTGAAGAAACTCATATCCCTTGTGAGATTCGAACCTGTGTCACCCGGTGCTGTAGTCACAGACGTGACCACTAAGCTATTCGAGTTAGCGGTTTACCTTCTGTAGGAATGCATTAGATACTTTGAATAGACATTAACTAGTGCTGATGAGTGCAAAAAAGTGCAAAACCTGAGTCAGAGTCTTCTTGACGATTGCTTCCAGCGGTCTAATTGATATCCTATAAACCTATTCAGAGTGTTAAATCTAAAAGATTTCTAAATTCTTTTGCATGATCTAATAAATCTGTGGAAGAAGCTTTTAAGCATTCCAAGACCCCAAGATCCACTCCTGAAAGCATATGCGATTTGCTATACTTCTGTAAAATGTTTTTCGCAGTAAACTGACGTCATACCAACTAACGCCACTGATATGATAAAGTCTTGTATATACCTTACAGTAGTTTACGTTTCTTTAGCATTCGTCACACTGAAAACATCAATTCATGCATAACTCCCATCCAGACATCAGTGGAAATAAAATACTTAGTTCGGAGAAGAGGCCATCTTCGGAGAATTCATTTTCAACTTTAGCTGTATATTCCCATTAGTATGAAACTTTCTTCGTGAAACACTATAGTAACAAAAGTGATGGTTTGTCAGAATCATAGTTGGTAATATTAGTCAATGCATATAAGTAGGTGAATAAGTGTGCTGGAGTTACGTAATAAGACGAATAATTTAACGAACGAATTGTGATTGGGACAAACATAGAAGCGAAGGAATTCCATATTAGTTTGTTTATTAGATGTATCACACAGTGAAACAGTTAATATTTACCGGATGACGTTTCGAACAAAATGTATTTTTGTTCATAATCATACCAATTATAATCACACAACTTCGAAACTTGAGTTTCATAGTTTTCTTTATTCTCTCCTATTTGTCGCCGGTAGGGTAGTAGAATTTTCCAGATATCTGGGTGGACAGGTGTTGAATCATTCCTATGACACGTATTCCCTTCAGTTGATTCGATAAACAAAGCTTCTGTTATCAGTGTCTCCCTCCCTTCACCCTGCTGTTACATTAGATTTTAAAACTGTCATCTTATCCCATCCAGCCTATTTTATGGTTGTGTGTAATTGCATGTAGCGAGTGGAATAGCTGAACTATTCTCTAGATTTCTTATCTTATTCGGGTCAACTAATCTAGATTTTGCTAGGTTTTTATGTTCTTCTAGTATGAGTGACTGAGCCCTGTTCTACTAATTTGACCTATGTATTTGACCTGACAATCATTCAAACAGGGTATTAGATAAACTAACTGTTTTGTTTTAAAGGTTCCACAGGATTGATCCTTTAACCGACAAAGCTTGTTTCTAATTGAGTTTGTGGTTGGTTTGAATGTCAGCCATTTTTATTCCTGCCTTGTTAAGTATTCTGCGTTAGGTTTCCGAGGTTCCTTCCTTGTGTAGAATTATCACTGATGATTTAGATTTCTTATTGTTGGTGTTTTCATTATCTTGAGCATATTTGACATGCATGTCGTTACTAATATTACCATTATTATTATTATCACTGTCAACACTATCATTATTTATTATATTTTATTTACATTTCCCTACATACTTTCTGACTAATTTATCAGAGAAAATAATAATTTTCAAAGCTTCTCTTATAATGTCTCACTTCCTGTCTTAGATATTTCCTTGGTATTACAAACAAGCAACAAAAAGCAAGTCAGCAAAAATCAACACAGTTGTTACCATGATATTTGAAGTGTCCGAATAATTTTCTTTTGTCTGTGTATGTGTAGATCCGGCTTTTTAACAGAATCGCTAAAGCTTCAACAGTGTTAACGAGACAAAAGCGTTTTTACATTTGGCAAGTTGTTCTTCACTTTGTGTGGATTACTTTGAAGGAGGAGGGGTTTTTTGAGATAGAGTGACTAGTTTTGACAAGATCTTTGATTATCACAATCCTTGTAGCCATGCGGTATAGTCTTCTTGATACCTCTTAGACAGGATACTCATCGAACGATAAATGTACCTGTCTTCAAAGCTACAAGTGAACTGATAAATGCCCATAGAAGTGGTCAAATACCAGATCTTGTCGTTAAGGCTTCGTTAAGGCCAATGGATGACTAGAGGACACTACTCTTAGTGTTTATGAGAAGAATATTTTTCTCGGGGATGATAAAGTCTTACTTGAAATCCAAGTTAATATATAGTTTCTTTTCTTTTTTTGAATAAGTTAGGCATCGTTCCTCTGAATTTTTGGCTTGATATTCTTGTCAATACATTTTGATGAATATTCATTTTGGATGAAGGCTTCTTTGGAAGATCTAGTTCTGCGTCTAGGAAGTAAGGACAACAGATGCATTGCATGCCAGCGGGAGGGATTTATTTATATTTCATTTTCCTTCAACAGGCACCCAACTGTAGGAACCTTTTAGTTGACCAGTCCAAGTGGATTTCGTATGGATGGACCTTCAGCGTTAACAGCTATAATTGTGACAATTCATTACTTTTGTTACTACTCTCTGTTACGAATGAATTACTTTTGAAATGCGATTGCACTTGTGAAGAGGAAAATGAATTCGGTTTTCAGTCATTTCATATCTCATAATCAGGGGAATTACAAACCTACATCCCATTAATGAATAACGATAAACTATTAGATGAGAGTTAACAGATTCTCTAGAGTGTCTAGTTTTCCGTTAAGGCAGATGACGTCTCCTACACATAGCTGAAACTGTTGCGATAAGATAGACTAAACCGGAACTTCCTTTCCATAAGAACACGTCCAGACTCTGTTCCTACCGTGGCCAAACTTGGACTGATGATTCTTCTTCTCACCAAGAGTTCTCCTTCCCCTTAACCCTCTTGGTTTTTCTCTTTTCTTTGCTCATTATTACACTCATTATTATTATTATTCGTCATAATGATACCCTTCATGCAAAGCTTCTCTCAATACTATCGAAATTTCCATTTATATTATCCGGAATTATTATTAGTGATATAATCTCATTTCTCAGTATATGCCTACACATATTTCACTTCACACATTCGTTATTTCATTATGAACCTCTCATTGCAGTCTTACTATCTCCTGTTTAACTCAGACCACTTTGTACTAGCCACTCACATGACACCTTTTATAACCTTCAAGTGACATGTCAATTTTCCCATCCCACACTCTACAAATCTATTATGATTAATCACCGCCATTGTCTCCCGTTTTACAATATTTTGTAATTGGATTCAGCCTAGGATGACGTTTGTCACAAAAATACGACTATTTATTTTGACACCCCATAACTATTAATCTGTTATTCTACGTTAAGAAAAAATGTATCCGCCGCATAACTGGCCATTACTGTAACGACAACAAATATTATAATTTATAATTGTAAGAACCTGAAGAGGAGAAATTAATAGGAAGAATATTCTTCGTTCAGATTGACATTTAGGGTAGATTAGTAAAGCCTTTAATTATTGCTTGAAGGATTTCATTATGAGCTGGCATCCGCCAGAGAGATCCTCTGGAAAACCAGCTGACAGTACTGGACAGCTGTTTTGTCAGCCTAGTTTGGAACTCTTCATCAGGATGCACTCATCGGAGTTCCGTCCCAGGACCTTCTGGTTACAAGGTGAGCTAGCTCGTAGACCATTTAGCCACCCTGGGATCCGATCCAATGACCATCGCACGAATTCCAGCTCCTAACAGTCCACGATATATAGTACGACTACTGGTCAGTATCATCAGCGGTGAGTTTTTGTCCTCACACTAAGGTGACAACTTCAGATTTGCATGATTTATAGTCAAATTCGATTAAACTTGAAGATCTCTGTTAAAATAATGCATAAAACTGCTTACTTTCTTTTTAACTTTACATAGGATCAATGTGTAACAGACCAGTGATATTGGTACCAGTGAAATGTTGTCGTATGCATGCTAGACCGATACAAAGAAACAAGAAAATATATATCAGAAGAAGCGGAGTTGTTGGCAAAAAGATAATATGCCGTGAGTTTATCACTGTCAGGCATAAAAAACAGGCTGTTTCATTTTCTAAATTATATTGAAAAGTAGAATTTTAAAATTGAGGGAAATTACTCAACCCACTTCATGGTATAAAATTTTTAAATCCTAACTGTTCTCGCTGTTTGTGCTTCAAAAAGATGCCTGTGTACTATCCAAATTTTAAGACTTTTGTTGAAATTCTATTTCTCCTATTCTCATTTTATGACAATTTAGGAAACAGTCGGAGATATGTTCGTTGCGGCAAAGGGGCTGGTAGCAGAAGCGTTGGGAAGCGCGTAGTGATACGTGGAGCAGGAGGGAAACGAGTTCGAGTAGTTAAAGGTGAGTATTTTGTTCTGAGTAATAATTCTACTGATTATGCCTACCATTCCGACAGCCTACGTACAAATTTGCACAGCAAACACATACATACACTCACTGGAATGTTTTCGGAACGATTGTCTGTAAATGAATTCCACCCGTATATCACTTAGACATGTTCATTATCCTCAAAGATAATAATACTGTGACATTAGGCAGCTATATAGACATCGCCATTTTTGTAATTAGAAAACAACTGTTTAAAATTAAGCAGAATATCCTCAACAAGGTGAGATCAAACTGTCCACGAGAATCATACATAAACGCTTTCCTGAGACAGTCGAGTTTCAGAATCACCTTGATATCAAATATTTAAGTATTCCTATTATTAATATTAGAAGAAGACAAATTAAAAAAAGATTTTTTATTCCTTTAAGTTCCCTGTGGGACATAGGGCTTCAAGATAGAGCTTTGAAGTTCCGGCAGCGATGGTGTTGCTAGACTCATGCCTAACCTTCCCTTTTTACCAGTAAGCAAGTGCGTCGACCGGGGTTTGAACCTCGAACCACATGTGTGGTTGACCAGCATTCTACCGCTGTGCTACCGACACGTAAGAGAACAATATTTTTGTTTTCAATTCTATTTTCTTCAGGCTTTACTCTAATTTGCATAGATTCGTATATAAGAATTTTAACGAATGATGGTAATTTTGTGGATCAAATAATGATAATGTGGTAAATCTTTTGAGCGTCATTATAACGATGATTGTAGTGATAACTAAATAATGATAATAATGTTTATGCACGTAGTGATAAGAATAAGGAAGGTAGTAATGTTTGCATATGTAGATAATTCAATAAATAGATGATTAGGTCGAATCTTAAAAGTTACGTAATACTGAAGGTGAAGTAGACAGATAATCAAGTTTAAATAGATATCATCAAAACAACACGAAGGAAGTGAAAAATAAGAAAGGCTGGGAGGGTTCTAATTAGACTTTACCTAGGTGAAGGGAGAGATAAAGGTAGAACAAACTTCTTTTGTCGTCTGTAAAGACTAGGAGTGTTCTCTCTAAATTATTCCCATAGTTTCAATTATTTGTAAAAGGCAGGTTCGAATTCCTTTCGAAGAGTTCGATGAAATGCGATAAGTAAGTACTTGTAAGCACTTCTTCTGTCAGCTTGATGACCGCTATCATCAATCAAATGAGTCAAAATAGGACTTCTTATTGGTTTTATTTGTCTTTTTTCCGAACCATGAAGGAACATGCTCATGAATGCATTCGTTGAACTGCGTAGTTGTTCTCCCTTGATACCCTCAAAAAAATAAAAATCTGATCAATATCATCACCTATCCATAAACATGAGCATAAATATTAGAAATTAAACACAAGCAAGGACAAATAATTAGGACCACATTGACATGTGACAATGTTGCAATTATTTCATTCAGGAAGGATTTTCTCAGCAGTTATTTCGTGAATTTTCTGAAATCACTTGCATCAGAGACAGTCCGTGATACAAAAAATAACCACTGTGTCCTTGACGTTTGTCTGAACTTCTGAAAGGCTGGTTTAACTATTCGAGTGAACGGGTCAACTAAAAATGAGTCGAAATGATGGAGAAATATATCATCCGTCCAAAATATTGATACACTTTCAAAGGATTCATGAGATACGACGCCAATTAATATACCTCATTATTTATGTGTTATGACTGGTGGGATAAAACTTTTCTCTAATTCTCTCTGTCTGCATTAATTGAAGAAGTGTATGTACTTTGGATTTCTAAGAATTCTATTCACATCCTATTCATTCTTTTGTCATTGACAATTATCTAGTGGGAGGGGGTCGGAAAGTTGTGAAAGGTGGCGTGAGGATTAGTGGTGGTAAGAAGGTTGTGAGAGGCGTAGTGGTACGTCGAGTTGGAGGGAAACGAGTTCGACTTGTCAGAGGTGAGTTTTTGTAAATATTCTTATAAGTTATATCCATATTTTGCTTTAACTATAATTGTGATTAGTGATTACTAGGATATCTCTGAGTCAAATGAATGATGAGCATTATTAACTGCATGTAGCACACAGATAAACATTACACTATAATGAGTAGCTTTCATAATCTTGCTTACATCAAGTATAACTTCTTGTTAGGGGTTAATTCCAGTCTACTGAATTTGTAGAAATTCTGTGTGAAAATTACACAGCGTAAAATTGGTAGGGTTGTTTTATTTCAGTTGATGTGGTTTCATTTTCTAGCGTGGAAACAAGTGCACAGATCTAATGTCTAGAAAGTTATTCTGATGGTAGTTAGTGACTGGCTACACAGTGAAGTCACCTGCAGTTCTAGTGAGAAGTCGTGACCAGTGCTATCCATCTGGTCAGGTGTCAGGAGGAGAATGCTTGTCACTGATTACCTTGGCTGCTGGCCTCTCTAAAAACACGAATTAGTGGAAATACGATTCGGCAGGCTTTTAATTGGGTAGGCAATATCTAAATGGTATGTGTGGTTCACTTGTAATCTGAAGGTCCTGAATTCAAACCTCTGACAGTTGGTACTGACGACGAGTTGGAAACAAGGACGAAAAAGACGTCCAGTACACTCTGTTTGTTTTGAATGCTCCTCTGATTGATATCAGTCCGTGATTATGGTGGAAACAAATCACATCCCTGAAGTTTACAAGAAATCATTATAGAAGGATATTTCAGCTTTGATTGTACCATGCAAAATTAATTAAAAAGTGAATGAATTGCCCTGTTCTGATTCTTGATATCTGAATTATAAACAAAATGTATGCTTAGTTTCCAATTTTACGAATTATATTCACATTCTACTCATTCTCTTCTCATTAATCATAATTCAGTGAGTGGAGGTGGGAAAATTGTGAAACGTGGCGTAAGAACTGGTGGTAAGAAGATTGTGAAGCGCGTAGTGATACGTGGAGCAGGAGGGAAACGAGTTCGAGTCGTCAGAGGTGAGTTTTTGTAAATATTCTTATAAGTTGTATCAATACTTTGCTTTTACTATAATCGTACTCATTGATTACTGGGATCAGTGTGACAACATTCATAAGAATGGGCGGGGACACACAGGCACACACATTGGATGGTTTGGGAAGCTGAGTAGTGCGAATCAATTTCACTTTAAATTCAGTATCTTGTCACAGTGAAGTCTATCGAGTAGTTTGGTCAAATGTGTTCATAATGCCCATAATTAGTTCTTATGGATGTAGAGTGTTTATGCCAGATTATAGTTTGCTGTCAAAGCGTAAAATTGGTAGTTGCCTTTTGAATACAATTACATTGACTCCAACTTCATTAAGTTAGAGAATACTCCTTAGTTGGAGTCATACAGATGTATATGATTAATATAACACAATCAGAAACATACTAAACTAGCCTCAGAGAGTTGGTTACTTTTGATGTGGTTTTGTTCTCTGAGCTGGATAGTTAGTTTGCGAAGCTTTCATCACCTTACTGGGTGACATCTTCAGCGCATACTTCAAATTGAAGTGAGCTTTTAGGTTTCTCCACGAGTTTATTAATCATTCCTCCTGGTGACCTTGGACGTGATTGGTTGTTTATGTATGTTTTCACACCTTCTAGGTTACTTGTGTTGGAACTGATTGTTTCTGTGACTTGAACTTTGGCCAATCGTGTGTGAAGTTTCTTTCTTATTGGTTGATAAATTTTGTCTATCTCGATGTGTCTATTGATTGATGATTCACTGGAATGCCAAGCTTCTAAAAATTCTCTAGCATTCTTGTTATTTCCTTTGTCTAATATTTGAACGTTGTCCCAGTCGAATTGATGTCCGTGGTTGTCTGTGTGTAGTGAAATGAGGGAGTGTATATCATGTCTTTTGACGGCTAGCTTATGTTCGTGGATACGAAGACGAAGGGGACGTCCACTTTGGCCAATGTAGTGTTTTTCACAGTTGTTACAGTTTATTTTGTAGATGATGTTGGTTTTGTCTTCTTTTGCTGTTGAGTCTTTTGGTTGACATAGAATTGAGTGCAGCGACTTTGTTGGTTTGTGTACGACGTCAATTCCTAAAGGTTTGAAGAGTCTTTTAGTGATTTCTGAGATATCCTTTATATATGGTAAGGCGATTTTCTTTGTGTTTTCCTTGGTGGCTTTTGTTTTGGTAGGTTGGCTTGGGGGTATATGTCTCTTGATGAAATTCCGGGGATATCCATTCTTTTGGAAGACGTCCATGAGATACTTTTCTTCAATTTTTCTTAAGGTGGGAGTGCTGCAGTGAGTCCTTGCTCTCTTGAATAGTGTTTGTATGCAGTTCCTTTTGTGTGCTATTGGGTTGTTGCTGTTGTAATTCAGTATTTGGTCTGTGTGAGTTGATTTCCTATAAACTTGAGTTTCTAATTCTCCTGTAGTTGTTCGCCTGACTAAGACGTCCAAAAATGGTATTTTGTTCTCGGATTCCTCTTCTCTTGTGAATTTGATGTCGTTGAAGACGTTGTTTATTAAGTTGTGAGTTTTGTCTAATTCGTTTCTTTTGATTATTACAAATGTGTCGTCGACGTAGCGTATCCAAATCTTGGGTTTGATCTTTGGTAGAATTATGTTTTCGAGTCTTTGCATCACTGCTTCTGCAATCAAACCTGATATTGGCGATCCCATGGGTGTTCCTTTGACTTGTTCATATATTTGGCCGTTGAATTGGAAGTATGTTGTTAGGCATAGATTTATGCATTCCATCCAGCTTGTGTGTTGCATTTTTGATTGTTGTGGAAGTTGTTCGTCGTTGCTAAGTAATTGCTCCATGGTTTCTTTTGCTAGTTTTTGTCCGATAGAGGTATATAATGCTGTCACGTCGAAGGATACCATTATTTCTTGTTCATCTATTTGGATGTCTCTGATTTTCTCTAGGAATTGGATAGCAGAGTTGATGGAGTGATCACAGGATTCCGTTAGGTGTTTTAGTTTTCTGTATAATTCCTTGGACAAATTATATGTTGGAGTTCCTGGGAGTGATACAATTGGTCGTAACGGGATATTTGCCTTGTGTATTTTGGGTCTGCCGTAGAATCGAGGTAGGACTGGTCCATTGGATTTCATTCGCCATTGGTCTTGTTTTGTGATCTGTCCAGTTTTGCTGAGCTTGTTTAAGGTCCTTTGGATGCGGTTGTCCAATGTTTGTATGGGATTTGTTGGGAGTTGTTGATATACATCTTCATCTTTGAGTAGTTCTTCAGCTTTCTTGGTGTATTCTTCTCTGTCCATGACTACTGTTGTTCTTCCTTTGTCGGCTGGTAAAATGACGATGTCCTTCCTATTTTTCAGCTTTTTGAGGGCCTTTAGTTCTTGAGAGTTGAGTTGTGTGTGTTGTCTTTTCTGTTTGACCATTGGTACAATTGTTTGGCGTATCTCTTCCTGTGTTTCCTCGTTCAAGTTTGATGATTTGAGTAATGATTCAAGGGCAGCGAAGAAATCAGTTTTTGAAGCATCTCCGGTGTTGTAGTTTAATCCTTTTTGTAGTAGTTGTTGTTCCATTTTTGATAGTGGTTGTTTTGATAGGTTGACTACGCAGTCTATGGGCGTATTGTCTGGTTGTTGTTTTCTAATCTTGGCTAGCTTGGTTTTGAGGACTCTTCGTCTTTGTTCTCTGTGTTTTCCACTTGACAGTGAAATTGCGGTGATCAGCGTTGACAGGTGTTCTTGGTTGAGGGTTTTCTCTAATTTTGCTTTTTGGACATCTATTATTTGTTGATATTTGTTGATCCGATAATGTGCGTCCGTAATCATTAATTTGACCATTCGTCTTCCACATTGTTCGGCCAATTTCCATCCCATTGGGCAGTTGACTGGTGGCTTGTATCTCACACTGTTAGAGTTGGTTACTTCTTTTATTCTATATTTTATCGCAGGGCTTTTATCTATTTTCGTGTGATTGAGTGTGTTTCCCAATGGATTTATTATAACAAGATGTTGAAATAATATCAAATATCAGTTTGATCTAATCACTTAATAAAAAATATGACACTGTAACTGTCTTAGGTAACATCTGTCCACTAAACGCCTAATAATTCATTATAGTAGGCTGGATTATTAATACATATGTTATACAAAAATAAATGAAATGTCGTTAAATTAACACCTCTTTATCGGACTGATCTGATGCAGTGTGAATTAAAGGCAGTGGGATGAAATTATTCCAATACACTGAGATACTTCCTTTTGCATTCTAAAACTATGTATCTTTTCCTTCCTTTACATTTCTAGTGGGACATAGAGCTTCAGGCTAGAGGCTTGCAGTTTCTATAGCAGTGTTTATTTTTACAGGATGGGGTTGCTAGCCTCATGCCCAACATTTCATCTTTACCAGCTTTATTACTGGCTAAACGAGATAAAGAAGTGCGTCATCGGCCGGGGATCGAACCCCCCACCCTGTACTGGGTCGGCCAGCGTCCTAACAGATATGCCACCGACGCACCTAAAACTATGTATTCAAGGAAAATCGGAATTCCTTAGAACCTTTATTCACTTCACCACAGGAACTATAAAATATGCTTCATATCTCTGAGTCAAATGAATGATGAGTTTTACCAACTGTAGGTAGCATACAGATAAACATTAGACAATAATGAGTAGCCTTCAGAGTCTTGCTTACATTCAATATAATTTCATGTTGAATTTATTCTTGTTAGAGGTTAATTCCAGCCTACTGAATATGTAGAAATTCTGTACGGGCATCATATAACGTTAAATGTGTATAATTGTTTTTATTTCAGTTGATGTGGTTTCATTTTCTAGCGTGGAAGCAAGTGCACAGATCTAATGTCTAGAAAGTTAATCTGATGGTAGTTAGTGACTGGCTACACAGTGAAGTCACCTGCAGTTCTAGAGAGAAGTCGTGACCAGTGCTATCCATCTCATCGGGTGTCAGGAGGAGAATGCTTGTCACCGATTACCTTGGCTGCTGGCCTCTCTAAAAACACGAATTAGTGGAAATACGATTCGGCAGGTTTTTAAGTAGCTACACAATGGCTAAATGGTGTGTGAGGTTGACTTGTAATCCGAAGGTCCTGAATTCAAACCCCTGAGAGTGGATACTGACTATGACTTGGAAACAAAGACGAAAAAGCCGTCCAGTACACCCTGTTTGTTTTGAATGCTCCTCTGATTGATATCAGTCCGTGATTATGGTGGAAACAAATCACATCCCTGAAGTTTACAAGAAATCATTATAGAAGGATATTTCAGCTTTGATTGTACCATACAAAATTAATTAAAAAGTGAATGAATTGCCCTGTTCCAATTCTTGATATCTGCATTATAAACAAAATGTATGCGTAGTTTCCAATTTTACGAATTATATCCATATTCTATTCATTCTCTTCTCATTAATCATAATTCAGTGAGTGGAGGTGGGAAAATTGTGAAACGTGGCGTAAGAACTGGTGGTAAGAAGATTGTGAAGCGCGTAGTGATACGTGGAGCAGGAGGGAAACGAGTTCGAGTCGTTAGAGGTGAGTTTGAAAATGATTTTGTTGTAGTTTTAAGTATGTTTGTTCTAAGTATAATTCTGCTGATTACGCCTACCATTCCGACAACCTACGTATAAATCCGTACACAAACATAGCAACACACACGTACACTGGAATGTTTTTGACACGGGTGTCTGTCAATGAACTTCAGCTGTATATCACCTCGACATGTCCATAATCCTCATAGACAATACTACGGCGTTAGGCAGCTTTACAGAGATGGTTAATTTGCAAGTAAGAAAGAACTGTTTGAAATTAATTAGAATATTTTCAACAAGTTGAGATCTCACTGTTTACGAGAATCACATGTGAACGCTTCCCTCAAACTGTCGGTGATGAGGATCACCTTTGATGCATTCAAACAAATTAAGACACGATCAATATCATCACCTTTCCACAAACATAAGCATACATATTAGAGAGGAAACAGGAAGAAGGACAAATCGACACGTAATAAATTTGTAATTATGCGTCGGTGGCACATCGGGTATGCCCATGGTTCGGGGTTCGGCTCCCTGCCAACGCACACCTGATATCAATGGTTAACCCTGTGAAATTTGGGCTACTGATAACATATGCTAAAAATTCCATACTTGTACCAAAAATAAGCGCTGGAATCAAGCATTAATCAAAAATAAAAATATAAGCAATTATTTCGTGAAATTCAGGTTGTGACAAGTTGAAAGGAGAATGAATAATAGTTATAGATTGAGAATAATTTTTGAAAGTATTGTCATCACAGACTCTCAGTCATACACAGAAGTAACCTCTGCCTTCTTAACGCTTGCCTGAACTTCTGAAACGCTTGTTTGACTATTCAAATAAAGGCATCAAGTGAAAGTCTAAGAAGTACTCAGATTGATAGTCTGGAAAATTAGTCGAAATGATGGAGAAATATATCATCCGTCCAAAATATTGATACACTTTCAAAGGATTCATGAGATACGACGCCAATTAATATACCTCATCATTTATGTGTTATGACTGGTGGGATAAAACTTTTCTCTAATTCTCTCTGTCTGCATTAATTGAAGAAGTGTATGTACTTTGGATTTCTAAGAATTCTATTCACATCCTATTCATTCTTTTGTCATTGACAATTATCTAGTGGGAGGGGGTCGGAAAGTTGTGAAAGGTGGCGTGAGGATTAGTGGTGGTAAGAAGGTCGTGAGAGGCGTAGTGGTACGTCGAGTTGGAGGGAAACGAGTTCGACTTGTCAGAGGTGAGTTTTTGTAAATATTCTTATAAGTTATAACAATATTTTACTTTAATTATAATGGTACTCATTGATTACTGGGATCAGTTTGACAACATTCATAAGAATGGGCGGGGACACACAGGCACACACACTGGATGGTTTTTGAAGCTGAGTAGTGCGAATCAATTTCACTTTGAATTTAGTATCTTGTCACAGTGATGTTTATCTAGGATTTCGCTGAGATGTGTCCATGATTTTGTCAGTTTCATGCGTTGATTTCCTTGAATGAACTCGAATAAAGGAAGAACATTAGTTGTTTTTGCGGAATAATATTGTACGATCATTTATTTCGTGGGCTTCTCATGAGCTACTTACAGGCAAATTAAATCTACAGGAACATTTTTAAGATACTTGCAAAGAGTTCATTTTAAACAAAAACCAATTAATATATGCATACAATTATGTGTATATATAAACACTTTATTCCGAACAATAATAGTCGTACATAATAGAAACTTTCGATATTTCGTAATCAGATGAAAGATAGTATGAAAATAGCCAGTTACCAGGGCAAGGAAAGACTGACTGAACGCTTCTTTCTGAACACATAATACGGGTTCCAGGCGCTTGATGAAGATTGCTTCAGCAACCTTGAGTAGAATAAAACTCTTTTTCCTATTGATAATTTTGAATGATTTTGCCATCTTCCAATTCTCTTTCTCTGTATTACAAAAAGGTGTGTGCGTAGTTTTTAATTTTACGAATTATATCCATATTCTATTCATTCTATTCTCCTTATTCATAATTCAGTGAGTGGAGGTGAGAAAGTTGTGAAACGTGGCGTAAGAACTGGTGGTAAGAAGATTGTGAAGCGAGTAGTGATACGTGGAGCAGGAGGGAAACGAGTTCGAGTCGTCAAAGGTGAGTTTAAAATTAATATTGGTATAGCTCTAAGTATTTAAATATTTTATTGTGAGTATATGTCTACTGATTACGCCTACATTTTCGACAGCCTACCTTCACACAAACACATCACACACGCACACACATACACTGGAATGTTTTCGAAACTATTGTCTGTTAATAAATTCCACCCGTTTATCGCCCAGATAGACTGTATCGTTGGGCACCTAAGCAGACGTCGTTATTTTGTGAGTGGACAATAATTAGTTAGAGTGAAATGAAATATATTGTCAAGATAGTGAGGTCAAATTTATGTCCACAAGAATTACATATGAATGCTTCCCTCAAACAGTCGGTGGTAAGAATCGCCTTGATTCACTCGAACAAAATCACATGATATGAGTGACACGTTGTATCAATGTATGCGATTTTCACAATGTACAGCATTAAATTCAGTGAGTGAACATAAAGAAAAACAAATAATACGGGGCAAGTTAAAATATGGTATTTAAATATAAAAACAACAATATATATGGTCAAGGAGAAAAACAGATAAAAGTTACGCAGTTAGTTGAAATATCCGTATTATTATTATTGTATCCTTTAGTTCCTAGAGGAACATAGGGCTTCAGCTGCGCACCTCCATTGCCTTCGGTTTTCTGACAACTTTTTCACCCTGCTCCAGGTATGTCCACATGCTTTCATCTCCTCCTCGCATGACCTCCTCCAAGTCACCCTTGCACTGACGACCAACTCGCCGCCTCCCTTTCGGGTTCCACTCGAGCGATGGCTTGTCTAGTGATGTCACTTGATGGTTTCCTCAGCGTATGGCCAATCTATCTCCACTTTTTCCTGCCTATTTGTTTCACAGTCAGCCCGCGCTGGGTTGGTTCGCTCTCAGAGATCCCTATTGCTGATCTTTTCTGGCCGGCCATCTGATCTTGAGTATTGAGCGAAGACAGCTGTTAATGAAGGTCTGAAGTTTGTTTGAGATGCTCTTTATGACGCGCCAAGTCTCTGATCCGTATAGCATGTAGCACTGACTTCACATTGGAGTTGAAAATCCGGATCTTATTTTTGATGCTGGGTGCTGTTGACCTCCACACAGATTTGAGAGTAATGAAAGCTTGTCTTGCTTTTCTGATTCTGGCTTTGATATCCTCGTCAGTTCCGCCTGTAGTTGAGACGATGCTTCCCAGGTAGGTGAAGGAGTAATTAGATCATTCAAGAAAGATTTTCTGAGGAACTATTTCGTCAGTATCATGTTACGATAAGCAGAAAGGAGAATGAACTATAGTCATATACTGGGAAACACTTTTGAAATTATTGTCATCACAGAGTCTTCTTGTTACACGAAAATAACTTAAAAATAATAATAATTTTGTTTTATTCCAAAAGCAACAATAATGATACAGCAAGAAATTTTCAGCATTCAGTACAATATTGCATGTAATTTACTCAAAACGACAAAAAATAAACATTACATAATAATAATAATAATAATAATAATAATAATGAAACGTTGTTATAGCAGCTACATAGCAAAATACTGTATGCAATACGGAGAAAAATATGCATAAAGTATAAAATTGTAGTGATAATAGTAATAACAGCTAAATTAAAATAGCAAAGTTATAATTAAACGATAGAAAGTGTGACAGCATATGATACAGAAAGATGAACAATGAAAGGGTCGATTCACTGTGCTAATTTCATAGTAACTTATGTGTTTCACGTCTAACAGAGTCTTCATCACATAAAGTACGGGCTAAATAGGGTATTGTAGAATTTCTGTACCTAGTGGTACGAGCATATCACTTTTTATATTGACTTCTCTTCCTACCTGATGAGATGCAAGGGGATAGTTGTGAATAAAGGGGGTGCAGAGGGTCTGACAATACAGCCTTTGCCCATTTTGTACAGGAATTTATGTGTCTCTCGACTATAGTATTGGCGAGCTCACGCAGTGGCAGACCACAAGCCCTACTCACAGCATTTAATACTCTTCGTAATATGATATAGTCTTTTTTGAGAAGCTCAGGAAAGATTAATGGAGAGCGATAGAGTACAATAGGTAAAATACAGAAGTTTAAAAATTGCAAAACTAAAGGTTGGTTGATACCTGTTTGTCTTAACTTTTTAATGTAGAAGGTAAGACGAAACATTTTCTTAGAGATAGATAAGACGTGGGATAACCATGAAAGGTCAATGGAAAGAACTAATCCAAGGTATTTAATGCTTGACTTGGTTCCAATTTCCGTGCCATCTATGCTACAGGCATCATGCGAACTAACTAGTTCATGTAAGTCACGTCGATGCTTGAAAGTAGAGTCAACTGCCTGACATTTGGAAGGATTTAACATAAGACCATTTGACTTAGACCACTTGCTGATCTCCAACAGAAAGCTATTAAGTTTGGAGCAGTCAGACTCGGAAGTGATATGCAGGAAGTGATACAGTCAGATCATCTACATATTTGACAAAGTTAGTTTCGTTTAAATGAGGCAGGTCGTGTAGGAAGAAGGAAAAAAGAAAAGGAGAGAGGACGGCATCTTGAGGAACTTCTGTGTTCTTAACGCTTGACTTCATCGTTCTAGTTAACCTGTAAATAGATCCCTAATTTAAGTTGGAAAATGAGTTCAAATGGTTCAAAAATAAACCGCTTGCCTTTGAATTTGGATAGTGTTCGGTTGGAAGACGGAGATTATCTGAAAAGGTATGTGATATATTTGCACTATACATTTCGAACAACAATCTGATCCCTCACACATTTACTTGTCAAGTAAATTAAACAAAGTGACAAGAAAAAAAGGATTTAAGAATATTGATGAATACTCTTGTTGAAAACGGATATCCTTTACAATTTTTAAACAGGTGTAGAAGTCTATTAATCGCTAAACCTACAATCTCTGTACCGCCCCTAAGAAAAAAAATGTTTTCATCAAGTTACCATATAATGGTGAAATAAACAGTAGGATTTTGAGACAAAGGTTAAATTCGGTCATCCATAGGACCTACTATGCAGCCCAACTTGTAATGGTCGAAAAAAGCTAATAATATGTTCCACTGCAAACCTCAAAAGTGCACAAGTGATTATGTCACATCCTACACTATTTACCAATTTTCGTGTGTGCGTGGACATACATACATAGGGAGGAGTAATCGTGCTTTGCATGTGACGGTTGGAGATCATATCTCGAAATGGTTAGAAAAATAAATGAATTGTGGAAAACCAATAGACGCAGGTGTCAGACTACCACCTTCGTCTATAGCTAAACATCTAAATGAGAAGAACTATACGATTGATATTAACTCAGCCTTTTGGGTCATTGATAAAAACGGTCAAGGGCGCTTATTGAATTACGCTGAAGCTATAGGTATTCATAAACTTAAGCCAGCTTGTTTATTCAAAAACAGTTTATTATTACTCTTAACCTACCTAGGTAAATTTTATTTGATTGGATTACCAAACGTTATGTGAATTGATTGCCTTTTAATTTTTGCATATACATCGATTTGATTAGTAAATGTGGGATCAGATTGTTCGATATGTATAGCGCAAATATATCATATACCTTTTCAGATAATCTCCGTCTTCTTATAAACACTATCCAAACTTATAAAAGGAGGGACTAATTCTTTTAAATTTTTCAAGCCTTTAAATTAACCTAACACCTTATGAAGGCATTGATCTGATGGAATGTGAACTGATGTAATGATAATGTCATTCCCTACTTTATTCCTTTACGTTCTCAGTGGAACATAGGCCTTCAAGCTACGGGCTTGAAGTTTCGGTAGCAGTGGTGTTTACTTTTACGGGATAGGGTTGCTAGCCTCATGCCGAACCTCCTCTTTTTACCGGGTTTTATGACTGACTTAGCAAGGTAATGGAGTGCGTCGTTGGCTAGGGATTGAACCCGGGACCACCTGCGTGGTTGATGAACATCCTACCGCTGTACCACCGATTCACTTAAATAATCATTCAACCTTTCGCTAATTCTTTTTATCTTTATCACAAAAGGATTTGTGCGTGCATGTGTAAAGTTTGCATTTTTAAGCATTTTACTCATAATTCTATTCATTCTATTTTTGTCAATATCAATTTAGGCGAAGGACGTCGAAGAACAGTGAAACGTGGTAAAAAGATTGTGAGGCGTGTAGTGATACGTGGAGCAGGAGGCAAGCGAGTTCGAGTAGTCAGAGGTGGGTTTAAAAATATAATTCTTGCTTATTTTAAATATTTTTAATGTTGACTATCATTCTACTGATTACTTCAACCAGTTGGATAACAGATATGGAAATGCGCTCACGCACACAAATGTGAACACAAACACTGGGAGATTTTTGAAATGGTAGATTAAATTGTGGTGAAAGCTGTCTGCAAGCCAAAAATTACAGACAACTATTTACGTCATTGTTTACGTCCACAAATCGTAGTCATTCAACAATCAATCACAACAGACTTAGTGCGTGCAAATACGATTCGCAGACATATGGCTTAACTTTCTAAAAAACGGTCATAAGCAGTATAGAACAACCTTCAGCAAGAAAAAATAACAACCGATCAGAAGAGGTTGCTTTTTCGCTAACAATAATGCTAATGATGATGCACATAAAAACTATAAATACCTCTTGGTTTTCTCAGTAAACGATCTGTTGTCTGGCGCTTGTATTCTGTCATCACAATATCACTGTCAGCTGATTAGGTATTCTGGTGATACATGATCCTTTCTTTTAAAAATTGAATACGAGTATTCGACAGACGGCTAATCTACTGAAATATTAATGGGATGCTTCTCTATGAATTCTAAACCTATCCATTTGAACTGCATTGAAACTTCTCAGCATCTGCATTCGGTATACCATTTTTTGAATTCTCTTACATTTCAAGCGGAACATAGGGGTTCAAGGTAGAGGCTTGACATTTCAGTAACAGTGGTATTTAAGTTTACGGGATAAGATTGCTAGCCTCATACCCAAAATTTCCTCTTCGCCACTCTTATTACTAGCTTAGCAAGGTAAAACAGTGCGTTGTCGGCCGGGGATCGAACCCCTAACCACATTATATGCCTCAAAATTGATAAAATGCAATAATGATTCAACTTTAATTAATCCTTTTCATTTCTATTGTAAAAAGATGTGTGCACTTTCCCTTTTGAAGAATTTTACTCACATTCTAATTATTCTATTCTTGTAAATATCAATTTAGGAGAAGGACGTCGAAAAACAGTGAAACGTGGTAAAAAGATTGTGAGGCGTGTAGTGATACGTGGAGCAGGAGGGAAACGAGTGCGATACGACAAGAGTGAGTTTTTATAAATAATAGTGTTGTATCTTATTTTAAATATTGTAATTCTACATATTACTTCGACCAGCTGGATAGCATACATGGGAGTGAGAGATCTACAAACTGTGAAAGATTTTCGAATAAATTTCATTTTTGACCTACTGTTTAAACATTTTGAAGTGTATCTAGAATTTCGCCTTGGTTTTTTAAAATTATCCTCATAATTAGTATCGAACTCAGTGAGTCTGGGTTAGACGATATCTATTATAAGAGATTAAAACTGTCAATATTGTTTACGTTACTGATTCAGTGACTCCAACTTTACTATCCAGGGAATCATTTGTAGTTCTAATGATCCCAGAGAAGCTGAATACTTCTGTTCAATCAGTTAACGGGAAAATCAAACTAGAATGGATTACACAAGAGGTGGTGGTTCTCCTTACCCAACTGGTCTATTGGATAACGCTTTACCGTTTGAAACTATGGGTACTGGGAACAGCATCACTCACTGACTGGGGAGTGCAGGTACATCCACTAGACGACGAGTCCCAGAATGGATGAAAGACACAAATTCGATTCCACCATTAGTCACCATCCACGAAATTACTAAAAGCTGAATTACTCCACATGATAGACTGGATAATTTGTCAAAGTGATCGAAAAATATATCAGCTGTACATAACATGAATACACTTTCAGGCGACTTATCTTATTAATACCAATGTCAGGTAATGAAAAATTCCGTTATTAAGGCTTTTACCTTTTACAACTTTAGTCTACAATGTAAAGAATTTCGTTCCATTCTGTTAAGTTATGCTACTGCATTCTGAAAGCTTATTGTTATTCTTTTTATTTTTTCTTATCATATATGCAAAGATGGCAAAAGAATTGTTGTGAGAGTTAAACGTGTCCGAAAGAAAGTAATAGACAGACCAGATGGATTGAGAAAGATGAGACGTAGACTTCGACGAATAAGAAGGCGACAGATAATAAGAATTAAAACTATACACGTTCGTAAGTTACCTGTTTATTGAGAGTTTAATCCTGACATCTAATTTGAATCCCTTGAATTTCAAAACAATAATCATGAATCATCTAAATGAGTTGACAACTCTTCGTTTTTAGTTTTGTCCGTATAGTTGCTGAGATTTCACTCCTAGTAGTTTTGATCATGCGCAGACATCAGTTAGAGAAATTGTTATGTACTCGTCGCTAAGTTATTGTTATGGACTGGTCGAGAAACTAATAGTCCTGACGCGAGAAGGCGGAAATCAGAAGACCACTAGGTTTGCGATGATACTTCTATTGTCCAAACACAAGGAGACGAAAAATAAATGGTCTCACACCAAAGTGGTAAGTAAGTAAAGTAGTTGTAAAGTAAAGTAGTTCACACAAATTGTGAATGCGAATATATATAATAATTCAGACAAGCGTGGGAAAAATCATTAGACAGTCTTAACATGAATGGCTAATTATAATGGAGTGTCGATCCAATTATACATAGCGAATATAGCAGACATGCCAACAAACATATATGGATATATGTCACCAAGCAACGGATTGTCAACAAACACTCATATTATATATAATATAATATAAGGAGAATATACATTGATAAAGGAGACAAGTTCATACAAGTGAAGTGGTCACAGACTAAGCGAGCAAACAGAAAGAGAGACCAACATGCACACACACACATAAATATATATATGTGGATACATATCAGAAATACTTAGAATGAGCAGAAAGCACTGGATATATCTGTTTCGTCCCCCTGGTTTGGGACTCTTTTGCAGTGTATACCTGTCGGAGTTCGAACTCAGAACCTTCCTTCTGGCTACTAGGTGAACTTGCAGACCACTCATACAGTGCGAACCCTATTCAATGGCCGTCCTACAAGTTCCAGCTTCTACCAATTCACTTTATATCTTCATAGGACAACCGCTAGCCAATGTCATACGTAGGCCAGTAAATAATCTCTTGCCTGACTTTGTGGACCACATTGGTTTAGAATTCTCCTTTATATGTTTTCTGTTGTATTATATATGATGAAGTAATATGTGCTGTTATTATTATTATTAATAATATTATCAAAATTATTCTCATTGTTTACAGGTGACAAAGATGGCAGAGTAGTAACTAAAACCGTAAGGAGAAAGAAACGAACACCGTCTGAAGATTTTATTCCTCTTGAAAAGATAAAGCGTTATATTCATAAAAATGCATCTGATGGTATTCAGCATATTCGAATTTGTAAGTGCCTAAAAGTAATTTTCTACTTTAGCTTTAATTGATTAGTTCGTTAGCTATGGGGACAGCGGACCATTACTTAGTACATTGTCCTTTAAATATTTAACTAAATATATTGTCATAGGCATAGATGGTGTAGTAGATCATAGAATATCAAATCCACCAACTTTATTATCAATGCTAAGTTTTCGTCATTCATCACTCGATCATTAATATACCCTTGGGTACTGAGTATAACATTGGACTTCCAAAGCATGTCTCTACTTTGTCCCATTACCAGGAGTCCTCTTTAGCTAGTTCCACGATTGTTCTCAGTCTCTCATCCCCTCCTCACACAACCTTCTCTATGTCATTCTCACGATCCACAACCAGCTTATTTCACATTCGGTTTACACTCAAGTGATGGCCTGCATTGACCACAATGTCATCTGACAGTCTCTTCAACGTTTGTCCGATTTACCTTCAGTTTCTTCAAAAAATTCATTGAGCAAAAGGTTCTTTCAACGGACTCAGCAAGCCGTTTGGAGCAAACACAGGAGTTAGACAAGGGCGCTTATTTTCACCCACGATGATATTCCTAATTGTGATGGGTTGGATTATGCGTCAGACAGTCAGTAGGAAACGAGAAGACAGGGATATCCTGGACCAACGTGAAGAACCTAGAAGACCTGGATTTCGCGCGTGGATGATTTGTGTTTAATGTCACACAAAATCGAAGACTTACAAGCGAAAACCGACAAACTGGTCAAAGAAGCAGCCGGCGAAGACAGGACTCCAAGCGAACATAGACAAGACGGAGGTGATGAAAATAACCAACAACGACAACAATAACAGCAACATCCAACGCCAATCATCATCAACGGGAGGGATTTGAAGGAGGTTACTTCATTCACTTATCTAGGGAGCATTGTCTCAACTACACGCAGTCGGAACGGACGAGGATGTCATATCGAGCAAGAATCGGAAGGCGAGAAACACATTCATCAACCAACTGAAACCAATCTGGAAATCTTCGTCACTCAGCATCAACAACAAAATTCGGTCGGATTTTCAATACAAACATCAAGTCGGTCAGTTATTCTATACGGATCAGAAACTTGGCGGGTGGGTCACAAAGAATATTTCCAACAGCCTGTTGCAGACGTTTATCAACAACTGTCTTCACTTTATACTGAAGATCAGATGGCCGGGCTGGAAAGAATCACCAACAAGAAACTCTGGCTGGGAACAAACGAAACAAGAATCAATCGCCAACCAACAAATATGCAGGAGAAAGTGGAGATGGATTGGACACTCGCGTCTGAGGAGGCCGCTGCGCTAGGTGACATCGCGCGCCCATCAGGCCATTGCTTGAGTGGGATCAGGCCGAAAGGGAAGCGACTAGTCGGTCGTCAGTGCAAAGGTGACATGGAGGATATCGTGTGAAGAGGAGTTGAAAGAGTATGGACTAACATGGATGAAGGTGAAAAGTACAACAGAAGACAGAAGCAAGTGGAGACGTGCAGTTGAAGCCCTATGTTCCACTAGGAACCCAAGGGAACAATAATAATAATAGATTCTTAACTGGTTCATTCCAAGAATTTCTTGTTGGTGACCATTTCTAGCTAGCCATCTAGCCTTAAATATTGATAGAAGTCTACAGTGACCTGTTGGAAATGTTTTTCATGATATGCAGTGCAAGTTCCTCACTCGAATAGAAGAAGTGATTGAGATGACATTGATAGTGAAAATCTCAATTCTATTTTTGTTTGTGCTGTAGAGTGCAGATTTCAGTAGTGATGTACTCTTTGTACACCTATGAGGTTTGTACTGAAGAATTCAAATTTTCAGAGTCCAGGGTGATGTCAATGAAAATTGTAGTACTAAACCAAATATTTTTATTCCTTCACATTCCCAGTGGAACATAGGGCTTCAAGCTACAGGCTTGAACCCCGGACCATGTGCATGGTCGGCGAACGTCCTAACCACTGTGCCAACGACGCCTAAACCAAATGGTCAGTATATAAAAAAAAACATTTTTCATTCCTTTTCGCTTCCATGTAGCTTTAAGCTTGACCATTACAGTTTCAGTTGCAGGGCTTGTCAACGAAGTGCGACTGTTATCTTCACACTTAGCATTCCGTGTTTAAAGATTTTATCATCACTGGCTTAACAAGGCTTTTAGGAATGAGTCGACTGGGTATCGAACCAGTAGTATGTACACGGTTGGTGAGGAATTCTCTAATGAACTAACCATTGATATTCAACAGTGGCTAGTAGACGTTTCTAAAGTTTAACACTAACTACGTCGACGCATTCCTTTACCTCGCTAAGCCGGGAATAATGCTGGTAAATAGGAAAGGTTAGGCATGAGGCTAGCAAACTCATCCTGTAAAAAATAAATACTACTATAGAAACTTCAAGCCACTAGCTTGAAGCCCTATGTTCCACTGGGGAACGTGAAGGAAAAAAACGCATAATATGATTTGAAGCATCATCGACGACGAAACATTTAAATTTGTTATATTTAATGCATAGATTTGTATAGTACTCATTTTGAAAGAAAAATCATATTATTATTATTATTATTACTATTGTTTCCTTTAATTCCTAGAGGAACATAGGGCTTCAGCCGCATGCATCCACTGAGTTCGCTTCTCTGCTAAAGTTTTCACCTGGCTCCAAGTCTGTCTGCATACTTTCATCTCCTCTTCACACGACCACTTCCTCCATGTTACTCTCGCATTGACGACCAACTCGCCGCTTCCTTTTCGGGTTCCACTTGAGCGATGGCTTGTCTAGTTTTAAAGAAAAATCATATAATTTATAGTTTCTTACGATTCTATAATATTAAAATGTGTAAGGAATTTAAAATGATTTTTTGTTTGTTAATTTCATTTTTAGTAATTAAAAGAAGAAAGCGTATTCGTAAACGAACTGCCTTACAGAAGATCAGACGACGTTTACGTAGACGAAGAAGACGAATTATACTTTTACCTATACGTAAGCCTAAGGAACTTTTTTTAAAGTATTAATAAGATTATTTTTTTTAAATACGAGTATCTATCTCAAAAATGATGAATACTTGTGTAGCCATTGTGGGCTGTCGGTTCAATGGAACGAGGATAGGAAACAACGAGTTGTACGTGAGTTGCTTGGGTGGCATGGAGGATATTGTGTCAGGCGGAGGAGATGAGAGCTTATGCGTATTCGGAAGACCAGCTAGAGAGGATCATGGAGACAGTGTGACAGAACAGAGATGTGTTGTTGAATCCTTATATGCCACTTGGAGTTATAGTATAAAGTATAAAACTCGGGCATTGTGGTAGAGTGTAACTCGATTATAGATAAGATTTGATTTTGATAAGCCACACAGTGTTTGTTATACAGTAGTAATATTAACTGATGACTACGTTTCGAGCACAAATTAATGCCACTCATTATCATATCAAGCTAGTTACACAACACACACACAACAAAATACCTTGAAATGACTGTGAGGTCAACTATATAGGTAAATCTAGTAGATCGGGGGTAATCAGACTGGCGGAAAATAACGGCTGACCCCGAGAAGGGGAGTAATTTAGAAAAAAGCTCAGCAGTGAATCGCACTAAATGCATTAACACACAACCACACAATGGGGTGGGGGGGAGAGGGTTAAGATTCTAAGAAGTAATCTATGTAGATTGGAGAGAGGGAGAGTGATTACTGAATCCTGGCTGCTTCATCGAGTCTACATCCAACACATGCAACAGAAATGACTCAATGCAAACACCAGAAATATGAAAGATATTATTACCGCCAGCCAGTCAAACCAGAAGAGGATAATAAATAATCTTAAAATTCTATTTCAATTCAAGCACATCATAACATTCTAACAAGTTACTTATTTTGACTATAAAAACAAGCGTCTTATTTCCCATCTGATTATAATTGATCAGTAACACCCATATTATTATTTCTGAATGTACATTATCACGTATTGGTTTTTATTCAAATATCTAGTCAATTCCACACATGTGTATAAATGAAGCAAGAAAGTTGTGTGAGTAGTGTCTTGATATAATTATGAGGAGCAATAATTTGTGCTCGAAATGTGGTCATCAGTTAATATTTACTGCGTAACAGACACTGTATGATTTATCAAGATAAAATCTTATCTATAATCGAGTACTTGTAATGATAATGACAATAATCACAATACAAATAACGCAACTGTTAATATTGATAATAATCATGGGAACATAAAGTATAAAGGTAAGCATACAAATCTTAACACATGAACATTGAAGATTTATATAAAATGAGCGAAGTCAGTATATCAAACATGGACGTTTGTTACTTATTGACTCATATTCGAGATAAATTAGGATATACACATATCAAGAACATTAAAGAACTAGGCTAGTGTTTCATAGAAGACTACATTATAACAAAAAAGTAGTGCACAAAAAATGTATTTGTTAATTGCGCCGCTAGAAATAAATATCATTTAAACATTAACAATAACATTGAAAAAAAAATCAAATGAATAAAAAAACCGCGACAAAGCCAGTAAAAGAAAATTTTTCTCAAAATTAATGATAAAAGCATTTAACAAAACAAAAAAATTAATGAAATGATTCATTAAATTCATCCACAGCTGTGACAAAAAGACCTGAGACGGAATACGTGAACGTGACGGACAAACACGGGAAGGTAGTCGCACGATTCCGACGCCGAAGGAGACGCACGAGAAGAGTAGAAACACCAGGTAAGATGGATGAATGGATGCATGGATGGATGGAGGGATGGATGGATGACTGTGAGTGGAATGGTTTGACGAATTTTGCAGTCATATTGTAGGCAGTCAGTCAGCAAGCGAAAACAGTATCTGACACACTTGCATAGGAAGTGTATGAGATTGCGTTGAGATATAATTTCATTTGAAAAATTGACTCGAACATCGAGCATCGTATATGAGAATAGTGTGATAAATACTTATGCCAGAGACATTGACAGACCTTGATTTAATAGGGAGAATAGTTGCGTAGAACGAGTAGTATTTTGATCGTGGCTCGAAGCAGAATGGCACCATATTCTTTCGTGTGTGAGTGTTTGCGAGTGTCGATCGAGGATGTCCTCTGCGTGCAGAGAGTGAGAGTATCGTTTAGTGTTGTGTTGGGCTGTTAGATGGTGTTTTTGGACGATAAGTGGAGTGGAGTGTAGTGGTGAGTTCTTCACTCGCGAGTGTGAAATGCACAGGTTTGTAATGAATTTTAGCAGAGTGAGTTGAGAGTTTAGACAGGGTTCTGTGAGGAATGGATGTTTCAGCTGAGTTTTCAGAATTCGGATATAGCCGGAGGGATTGTTGTTAGTGAGATGGGTGAAGGAGGCGAAAGTATTAGTGATAGCCAGTGACAGAGAGACAGCGAGAGAGTGAGTAGGGTGAGTGGCGTTGAGCGTAGATGGTGAAAGATTGAGAGAGTGTAGAGAGTGTTGAGATTCGAGTGTGAGAGATTGTTGGTTGGTTGGTTGGTTGGTTGGGATGAGATAGAAGTGCAGACAGACAGATCGAAAGTCTGGCTGTCTGAAAATTCGGTTGTGTGATGACTGCCTGCCTGACAGAGTCTTCCTTCTCTGTTTCAGGCGAGACGACACCTGGAGAAGAATTCGTCAACGTGACGGACAAGTTGGGAAGGGTGTTGGTACGATCCAGACGACGAAGGAGGAGGCGACGAATGATAGGCGAACCAAAGGGTGAGTGATCGAATTCACGTGAGTCGATGTAGATTCTGTGTGCGTGTGTTTTGTGGGTGTGCGTGTGTGTGAAATTGTTGTGTGGAGGGAGGGGTGTAGTTTGCTTGTGAATTTTGTCGGTCAATGTTGGCGGGAGAGATTTTTCTACGGTTGTGATATTACCGCCTTGTGTGGGATTAGTGATGCGCGAGAGAATGTGTGAGAGAGAGAGAGAGAGCACACGCGCGCGAGTGAAGGGAAGGGTGATTTGTTGTTTGGATGACAGTGTGTCTGAGTGTTTCTTCTCGTGTTCAGAATTGATCGTGCTGTGTTGTGCTGTGTTGTGAAGTTTGAACAGGAGAATGCTGGCGGTGTATTGGATGCTATCAGACAAATGAACAGGAGAACGGAGAGGGAAAGAAGTTGGATGAAGAGGAAGGGTGAATGTGAGGGCAAAGGGAACACGAATTAGCAGACAGACTGATAGGTGATTGGTACAATAGAACAAACAAAATGAAGAAATTGGAAAGGAAATTACAAAGAATGACACTGAGATTTGGCGAATCAACGCAAACGCTGACGAGTGTATGCGTAGCGGAAGGTGATCACACCTGCTTCACTGACATCTTCGACTATCTTCACCCATTTATGTGCATACCTGTGGTGTGGATAGACGTGAAGTGAAGTGTGTGGCGGTGTGACTGAGCGAAAGATGATTGAGTGTTGTGGTTGTTTGTTTTTTGTGGGCATGTGCACAAGAACTGTGAAGAAACAAGGACACTGTGACAAGCATGAATCGCAATTGTAATTGTAATTGTAACTGTAATTGTGCCACGAGAAGTAATGGACTGCAGAATTCTGGTGATTGTCAGTCGTGTGAGGAAATGCATGCATGTGACACTGTGACGGCGTGCATCAATCATATTTACACCTCGATTTGCAACATTTCTTTCTCAGGTACAACGAGAGCGCCTGAAGTGGAGAACGTGAACGTGACGGACAAACACGGGAAGGTAGTCGCACGATTCCGACGCCGAAGGAGACGCACGAGAAGAGTAGAAACACCAGGTAAGATGGATGAATGGATGCATGGATGGATGGAGGGATGGATGGATGACTGTGAGTGGAATGGTTTGACGAATTTTGCAGTCATATTGTAGGCAGTCAGTCAGCAAGCGAAAACAGTATCTGACACACTTGCATATGAAGTGTATGAGATTGCGTTGAGATATAATTTCATTTGAAAAATTGACTCGAACATCGAGCATCGTATATGAGAATAGTGTGATAAATACTTATGCCAGAGACATTGACAGACCTTGATTTAATAGGGAGAATAGTTGCGTAGAACGAGTAGTATTTTGATCGTGGCTCGAAGCAGAATGGCATCATATTCTTTCGTGTGTGAGTGTTTGCGAGTGTCGATCGAGGATGTCCTCTGCGGGCAGAGAGTGAGAGTATCGTTTAGTGTTGTGTTGGGCTGTTAGATGGTGTTTTTGGACGAGAAGTGGAGTGGAGTGTAGTGGTGAGTTCTTCACTCGCGAGTGTGAAATGCACAGGTTTGTAATGAATTTTAGCAGAGTGAGTTGAGAGTTTAGACAGGGTTCTGTGAGGAATGGATGTTTCAGCTGAGTTTTCAGAATTCGGATATAGCCGGAGGGATTGTTGTTAGTGAGATGGGGTGAAGGAGGCGAAAGTATTAGTGATAGCCAGTGACAGAGAGACAGCGAGAGAGTGAGTAGGGTGAGTGGCGTTGAGCGTAGATGGTGAAAGATTGAGAGAGTGTAGAGAGTGTTGAGATTCGAGTGTGAGAGATTGTTGGTTGGTTGGTTGGTTGGTTGGGATGAGATAGAAGTGCAGACAGACAGATCGAAAGTCTGGCTGTCTGAAAATTCGGTTGTGTGATGACTGCCTGCCTGACAGAGTCTTCCTTCTCTGTTTCAGGCGAGACGACACCTGGAGAAGAATTCGTCAACGTGACGGACAAGTTGGGAAGGGTGTTGGTACGATCCAGACGACGAAGGAGGAGGCGACGAATGATAGGTGAACCAAAGGGTGAGTGATCGAATTCACGTGAGTCGATGTAGACTCTGTGTGCGTGTGTTTTGTGGGTGTGCGTGTGTGTGAAATTGTTGTGTGGAGGGAGGGGTGTAGTTTGCTTGTGAATTTTGTCGGTCAATGTTGGCGAGAGAGATTTTTCTACGGTTGTGATATTACCGCCTTGTGTGGGATTAGTGATGCGCGAGAGAATGTGTGTGAGAGAGAGAGTGAGAGCACACGCGCG